TTAATGAGAAGATATTTAAAATCGTTCCACTCACCAGGCAGCGTCCGTTCACACACAGCTCTCCAGGCTCCGAGCTGCAGGAGGTTCCATCCAGCACTCGTCCAAAGTTGTAGTAGAATTTGTGACCCAGGGCCAAGCAGCTCAGTTCACAGGGGTCAGAGCCTGACAGGGAACAGTGGCTGGTTCATAATTATATAATATTAATAGGATTTATGAAATGTGATGTGTCGTATCTTATCATACTCACCTGAATATTTTACATGTTGAAATAGTTTCTGAACTGGAAATCGAGACAGTTCTTGTTCATACAATCATAAAATAAAACGACACGTGCAGTGATTTCTGGTCGGTTACAATGTCATTTGATTTGAGTCTCAGGTCTGAAGACGTCATCCCAAGATGTCAGTGTCGGGCCTGATAATTAATACAATCATAAATTCTTCTTCCTATTGTTATGGAATTTCCAAAGACACTGTCTCTTGTCCTCTCTGGGGCAGAGTGCAACAGGCTGTTGTGTTTGGGAAGTGCGAGAGCTTGGTGGAGGTCAAAGCCTTCACTCCCTAGACATCACAGATATGAGACTGTGTCATCAGGTAACACTGTCTCCAGAACTAGAAACTACATTTGATTGTTTAGGAACGAGCAGACCCACAGATTAAATGATCTGTTGGGGTTTAAAGTGTGACGGCAGGAAAGCAGACTTCAGAATATGAGAGAGCGTCATGCTCAGATGTTTACGATGAATTCTGATTCTCTCCTCGTCAAGCTTCAATAAATATTTCAGCATCAGACGTCAAAGGACTCCTGAACGCTTTCTTCATTGACAACACCTAATATTAACTCTGATCCCATTTATCTGTTTCCACTGCAGGAAACCTGGAAACCTTGTGTCTGCAAACAACAGCTGTTCAGACTTCATCTCTCTCACCTCCGTGAAACGTCGTCCATTGGAAGGAGTTTCCAGCCACTAAGGGTCGATCATTGAAGGCAGCACACTGCATCTCTCTGAAATCCACTGAGCCAGGAGCACACTCCTACACACACACACACACACACACACACACACACACAAAGGAAATAAAAAACATTGTGTAGAAAGAAATAAAAACTTTGTGTATAAAGAAATAAGAACATGGTGCAGACCTTAGTGTTGCAGATCTTGTATTGTCTGGGTTCTCCTGCACATGGTCCACCCACTGGGTTCCTGAACAAGCAGAGAGAACAGAGTTATTTTTTGACTATATGATTTTATGTGTGTTGGTTCTGTCACAAAGTAAATACAGACTCTAAAATTCTAAGAGTTTCAGTCTCCTTTGATTAAACAGTTTGCAGTGTAATTATTCATTTGTACAGTAAATGTAAATTATCTGATGAATCAAGTCAAATTTAGTTTTTTTTAGTATGAAGCAGTGATTTGCTGTAAAAAGCTGTGATTCCATACACATCAAGATATAAAATCAGGATTCAAATTGTTTTAAATGAATCAGCCACTCTTATTTTGTTTGTACATGTTTGTACCTTTTCTATTGACAATGAGTTCAAAGTGTATTTTCAAATTCAAACCTATTTTATCAGCAAATTTTAGATTTATGTTTGAAAAGTTAGCAAAGAAAAATATGATACAAAGACAGAAATATTTGACTTAAAATGCACTTCAGGTTTCTCCAAACATACAATTCAGAAAGTTGTTGAGGATTTAATTGTCACTTTATAAATTCTCAACAATTGAGGACCAGTTTGAAATGAATTGGCTTATGATGGAGAGAGTATGGATCCTTGAATGTCGATCTAATATTTATGTCCTGTAAAGTCTGGAAATGGGAAATAGAGGTCAAGCCATCAAAACTCTCTCCAGTGCCTCCAATCAGGCCAGCAGGTGGCGCTGGATCAAGAGGAGAGACACCACCTTGGCCCCAAAACAACTGCAACATCTGTGTGATTCAGGGCATTAAAGCAGGGGACAGCGAAACACCTATGGAGGAAGGTGCCCACCTGATGACCCCAATGAAGCTTTTACACCTCTACACCCTGGCTCAACACATAAAAACCTCCAGCAGTGGCTGAAGATCCATCCTGCCCACTATGCTCAACTCCAGCCACCCTCATCCAAGTCTCTCCTAAGGATGGTGGAGACACAACCAGTATTCAGATTCAATTCAAATTCAAAAGACTTTATTGTCATTGCACAGTCGTACTTCGTACACTAGCACAACCAAATTGTGGCACAGTCCTCCTCCTCGATGCCAAACATACAATTAATAAGACACAAGACACAAACCACTACACAAATTGAGATAAAAATAAGGGGATTCCAGGGCTAAAGGCTGTAATATACGGATGTAATATACAAAAAAGAATAATTGCACCGATAATGTACTGATACATGCAGATAATATGCATATTTGGAGAAGTGCAAACTGTACAGAATAAATACTATATACTATATACCGATAACGTACCGATATATCTGGATAATCTGGGTAATATACAAAGTGTTTTATTGCACCGATAATGTCCCATAAGTGTTTATTGCACAGAAAGGTCAAGGACTGAAAGTCCCATAGTGTTATTGCAGCTGGAAAGACACATGAATTGAGTCAGATATTTACATTTGCATTTATCATTGCAATCGCCTTGTTGTAAAAACTGTCTCAAAGGTCTTATAGCCTGGGACATTGGCCAGCAGCTCACAGTCCCATCACATATTATCACAATCAATGTTGTAAGTTCTTATTTCTCTGACGTTCTCCATTACACATGGCATCTACTGCACTTCTGTCCGTCCTGGGAGACAAATCCTCACATGTGACTTTCCTAGGTTTCTACTTTCTTTCATATGCAGTGAATATGGGCTATACAAATCAAATTTGATTGGTTAATTGATTGATAGACATATTGTCACTACTACCCTTAGATGAGACTGGATACTCTGGTCCAACACCCTGTGCATCGTCTACTTGGTAGAATTGACAGAACCCTGGGAGGATAATGTTGATGAATCAGAGGAAGAGGCTGACATATGCTGACATGGAATTTGAGGCATAGCAACGAGGATGGAAAGCAATAGTTTGGTCTGTGGAGGTTTGGCTGCAGGAGTTTCATTCCAACATCCACCATCAGGTTGCTCAAAGATCTAGGATCCACAGGACAAGTCCTGCTCCGGGCCATAAAAGAAACATCACACACTGCAGAATGCTGCAGCAAATGGCTCCGGATCAGGAGGAAAGATCCTAACTGGGCCCCAAGATGCTCAGGACATGCACCCACATCTGATCAACCTGTGGTGCGCCTTAGAAGAAGACGGGATTAAAAGGCTGAAACACCTATGTTCCTAACATCCGCTGGAGGCCACGAACATCTGATAACTGAAGCAACACTTAGTTTAACAGCAATAACAAAAACTACCACAAGGACATGGGGGAGGCAGCTGACAGAAGAAAAATGTTCGAAATTGTTGAATAAATCGTAAAACGTCTTCAGACCATGAAGCTCAGCTGAAGAAAAATGACATTGGACAACACGACGCATTGAAACAGCGTAAACAAATCTCCTGCCAATAAAATAAAAAAGAAAGAAAATATATTTTCATGTCCTTAACCTGCAGGACATGGATATTATTTACCTGGTGATGCAGGTGCGTGTCCTTACAGAGGCTCCGCCCCCACAGCTGCGGGAGCAGACCGACCAGCCGCTCCACATCGCCCATTCGTTCCGGAAGTTCAGCTGTCGTCGAGCTCGTGTTGAACGCCCCGTCGAGGGATCACCAGACGGACCCCACGCAGAGAGCCAGGATGACTGAGTCAGACAAAGAGATGGACACTTTAATGTTGACAGGACGACAACAAACACATGAGTTTGTTATTATCGCTCCAGAGTCCAGAGAGGACAACTTAGTTACTGAGACACCAGCCGAGAAAATCATCTTGTCAGAGAAACTTTTATAAACTAAAATAACACTTAGGGAAATAGAAGAAATAAAGGCCATCTCAACAACTGCACTGTTCTACATCTCAAAAAAATTCCATTAAAGAACTCGATTGACCTCATTTTCCTTTAGTAATTCTCCTGAACAGAATTTTACTGTTGCACTAATTAAAGAAAGCAAAGAAACACATTGAGCACAATGTATTTAAAGGGTCAGTGGAATAAACCTGTGTCAAAGGCAGAAAAACAACATTAAATCCATCCATCATCTTTAAAACCTTCTAACTCTTGTTCTTTCGGGTTCACAGGCGGCTGGAGCCAAGCTAACGTCAGCGGAGAGGTGAAAACAAGTCGACAGCCAATCACAAAACTGGAATAAAACAACCACCCACACAGGTTCTTCACGTCAGCTGCACATCTGTGAATCAGTGTGAACCTGACGGCCTCCAACAAAACTCTGAACAATGGAAAAAGTAAAGTATAGTAGTTTAGTTAACAAAATGACAAATCATTTCTTAAGCCAAACCTAATTATACACAATTTACAGTGACACAAACTAGGGACAGCACAAAAAGAAAAAATTGTCTTGATAAATGATTCAACGTTTGATCAAATCATTCTGTCAATATAAACAGAAATAATATCTGTCAAACAAACAAAGAAAGTATCTGCGTCATGGGAACATTAAAACATTAACACAGAGTTTAATCATTCACTGTTAAATCTTAACTGAGAAAATGAATGAATTAAAGAAAAGTTCCTCTATCTTTTCAAATAAATTCAACACAGCAGAAACTAAAAACACTTTTCTATGAAAAACAACCAAAATCAGCCCAACAACTATAGATAGACGTGCACACACACACACACACACACACACACA